GAAGAGTAACATTGCAAGGGAAAATTAGGTATGAGGTTTGCAGAAACTCTGTGATATTGTGGCAACTTTCCTGTAAACCTAAAACTTCTAAAGTAAGAAGTTTACTAAAAATATTGATAACTTCTGAAGAAGTAAAAAACACAAACATAAAGCTATAAAGTAATAGCAATACTGACTTAAATCAAAATCACTGGGGTGTGAGAGACCACTGGGATGTAAGGCATAATTTTTTTTTTAGATGAAAAGACACTTCATTATCATTTTACTAAATAACATATTAGTAAATAAACCTGGTGCAGGCAGAGTTATTTTTTTAAATATATTTTTATTGATTTCAGAGAGAAAGGGAGAGGGAGAGAGAGATAGAAAAATCAATGATGAGAGAGAATCATTGATTGGCTGCCTCCTGCATGCTCCCTACTGGAGATTGAGCCCACAACCTGGGCATGTGAGGTTGGCCGGAATCAAACCCGGGACCCCTCAGTCCTCAGGCCCACGCTTCATCCCCTGAGCCAAACCGGCTAGGGCTGCAGAGTTTGTTGTTGTTGTTTAAAATATATATTTTATTGTTTTTTTTACAGAGAAGAAGGAAGAAAGATAGGAGTTAGAAACATCGATGAGACAGAAACATCCATCAGCTGCCTCCTATACACTCCCTAGCAGGCGTCTTCAAACTACGGCCCGCGGGCCACATGCGGCCCGCAGAGGAGTCTGATCTGGCCCGCCAGGTTTTTTGGGCAGTGAGCACAGCCGAGGTGTTACAGTAGGAATTAGTAGTTCATATAGTCCGGCCCTCCAGCTCTCTGAGGGACCGTGATCTGGCCCCCACTTTAAAAAGTTTGAAGACGCCTGCGCCTACTGGGTATGTGCTCACAACCAATGTACATGCCCTTGACCGGAATCGAACCTGGGACCCTTCAGTCCGCAGGCCTATGCTCTATTCACTGAGCCAAACCTGCTAGGGCTGCAGAGTTGTTTTTTAAAGTGCCCACGAAAGGGAGGCAGAGACAGAGAGAGACGGAAGCACCCAGAGAAGGAGATACACGTGTAGAGGTTATATCCCCCCAAACTGAAGCTCCACCCCTCAATGTGGCTGTATGTTGAGATAGGGCTTGTGGGGAGGCAGTTAAGGTTAAATGAGGTCATAAGCTAACCATTTTGCTCAAGAAGTTAGAAAAAGACCGGTGAGCATTTAAAAAATGGAAGAAGGAAATAAAGGTAAGAACAAAATTAGCTGTAATTGCCAACAAAGGAGAGAGGACAGTGGAGAGAGGACGGTTAATAAAATGACAACAGAATTGTGGCTGACAGACAAGAAAACTATAAAGAGAACGCAGAAACCAATCAGGCAGGGAAGAAAAAGACCAATTGACGCCAGCCAGTGGAGAAGGAAATTAGGCCTATCCCAGCTAAGGGTGCAGAATTTCATTTCCCCAAATCAGATGATAAAAGATGGAGAGAGATTACAATAGAAATTGGTGCTCAAGGATCATGTGAGGCACTTGCTTATAAATCTCCCCCCCCTCCCCAAAGGATTGGGCTGGGCCTGCCCAGGGCTGCCAGGCTCCTGGCATAGGCAGGGCGCAATTCTACAATAAGAAAGTGCTTAGCATGTGCCCGTCTGTGACTCAGATAGAACTGGCCTGGCTCAGAAGTTCTGAGGATCCCAGAGAGCTTTCATTTTCATGGGTTGTAGCTCTCAATCATGAACGCATTAAAATTTAAACCTAGAATTTAAAAAATACGTAGTTTGTGTTTTTGTGTTTTTTTTGTTTGTTTGTTTGTTTTTACAAATAAGAATGAATTCGATCATTGTTTACCAAAAAATGAGAACAATCCAAATAGCCACAAATACCGAAAAGGCCAAGTGCACTTGATTTATTTATACAGTAGAATATGGTGCAGCTTATTTTATTATATTTTATTTTATTTTATTTTACTGAATCTATAGATAACTACATGTTAACAACAAATCTCAGGGGAGGAAAACCCTTTTGAATGAAAAAGGCAAGTCGCAGAAGGATAGAAAATAAAATACCATTTCTATCCATTTCTGAGGCAGAAGATATTCATTGGTAAAGTGGGTCTTTGACGAGAGACTAAATTGGGACCTGCTTCAGGAGGCAGCTCATTGAGTCGTCAGAAGACTTTGAGCAGGAAAGCCACACCTCTGCTATGAAAATCAGTCTAGCGCGTCCTTGCACACACACACACACACACACACACACACACACACTTCAGGGGGCTTGTGTCCTTGCCTGGAGAAAAATATACCTTCATTTTCAGGAAATGAAACATTTCCCTTATGAATGGCGTCCACAGAGCTCAGTGGTATTGGCAGGAGCTGTGACTGTCACGGATAGTTGATAGACCCTCCCTTCCCCCAACTGATGGACGGAGTATGACGCAAACTGGACCCGCGGCCTGGACATTCCTGAGCACCTAACCAGCACCTTATATGGAGTGTACGTCGAACCACCAACCAGCACCTGCCAAATACCCTAAGCTAGGGGTGTCGAACTCAATCAGAGAAGGGGACAAAATCTAAAATCCAGCCTAAATCGCGGGCCGAATGGTTTACTGAACAGTCATAAACTGTCATTGTGATGGAAACGCAGCGGAGTGCAGTGATGACAGCGCGGTGCGGGCCACATTGCAAGGCCTGGCGGGACGGATTTGGCCCGCGGGCCTTGTGTTTGACACATGTGCCCTAAGCCCCCATGCCTAACTCCCTAATCATGTGCCTTACATGAAACCACCAATCAGCGTGTGCCGAGTACCCTAAGAAAGGGCTTAGCATGTGCCAGTCTGTGACTCAGGTAGAACTGGCCTGGCACAGAAGTTCTGAGGATCCCAGAGAGCTTTCATTTTCATGGGTTGTAGCTCTCAATCATGAATGCATTCAAATTTAAACCTAGAATTTAAAAGCCCCTAAGCCCCATCCCCTCCGTTTCCTCCCTTCAGAAGGCGTGTTCAGCCCCACACATGTGCTCTTTCTCCCTGTGGAAGGCAGCCCGGCAGGGGTCTTCTCCTCTAGCAAAGCCTGGGTCCTGGGTCTCCGGCCCCTCTGTCTCATCTTTCAATAGTAATCACAGATATTTCCTATCACCTTATAGTTTTGGTAAATGTTTTAAAATCTCCCTGCACTCACCAGAGCATGAAGTCTGCTGCTGGATCTCATTACTTAATGACTTAATAAAGATGCACATCTATATTACATCCCAGATTTGATTTTTAAAACATTTGAAAACACACACACACACACACACACACACACACACACACGCACACACACACACACAAGCTTGGAACCCTCTGAGCTCAGCTCCCAGGCCCGGCTCTAGCCGGGGGCAGGCAGCCCAGGACAGACCAGAGGCCTCGGCTCTTTCCTCCAGACAACCAGGAGCCTCAGGAGGGGTGGTCCAACACTCGCAGGATGGGCCTCTGGCTGGGATCATCGCAAGGATCCCAGGGGTCACTCGGGGGTCAGGAGGCTGCTTGCCGCTGCATGAACCACAGACTCCAGGGGCACTGGAGTCTGCAGCCCCCATCCGCACTTCTGTCATGTTCCCTATTTGGCCTCTTCCAGGCCACGCCCATCTTCATGTTTGGCCTAACGGCTCCCCTATAAAATGGGGGCAGGGAGAGCATGGCCTGGGTAGATCTGCTAGGGTGGGGTGGGCAAAAGGAGGTTTACACTTGCGGGTATGTGAAGCAGTTTATTCTTGTCTTATTTATACATTATTTGTATTATTTGTCATTACTATTCCATATCCTTATTTGTGATTTATTCTTTATTAATGATGGCTGGTAATGTAAAGTGCTTTTGCCCCCCCCCCCCGTACTTGAGAGACAGGTCTCTGCATTAACTTAATGCCTGCCCAGCCTCGTTGGGGTGAAGGTGGAGGAAACCAGAAGAGGAATAAAGAGGTTCTTGGCGGAGGGAGGGGGGAGGCACGCACCTCCATTTCCCAGTGTAGGCCCCGGGGGAGGGGGGGAACGGGGCGCTCCCCACTCCCAACCCTCCACCCTGCACCCCCTCTCCCAATCCCCACTCCTTTCTTTTTAGTATATCTTATTGATTTTTTACAGCGAGGAAGAGAGTTAGAAACATTGATGAGAGAGAAACATCAATCAGCAGCCCCCTGCACACCTCCTACTGGGGATGTGCCCGCATCAAGGTACATGCCCTTGACCGGAATCGAACCAGGGACTCTTCAGTCTGCAGGCCGACGCTCTATCCACTGAGCCAAAGCGGTTTTGACAGCCCCACTGCTTTCTGCGTTGGTCCTGCTGATGGAGTGAGAGCTGCCAGACCAGGTGAGGAGGCGCTCAGCCCGGCCCGGCCCAGGGGCGGTCCCGGCCTCCCGCCCCGCCCCGCCCCGGCGCCTCCGCAGCCCGCACGCCGGCAGCCACTGCGGCAGCCGGTCCCGCCCCGCCGCCCGCACAGGTGCCCCGGGAGCCCGTCCGGCCCGGAGGGGGAGCGGGAGCCGCGTCCGGGTGAGAGCCGGGGGGGAGGGAGCGTCACCGGGCGGGACTGCGCAGAGGGCCGGGGCGGGAACGGAGGGAGACGAACCCCAGCTCCTCGGCGGGCGGCTGGGGAACGGGGGGGCGGGGAATGGGGGTCCCTGCCCAGCCGGGCTGGGGGCTCGCCTTCCCCCCGAGCTGAGCGCCTGTGCGCGGCCGGAGATGCGCTGGGCGCTCCGAGGCCGGGGACTGCGGGGGGACCGGGCCTCCCGGATCCTGGGGCGCTGGCTCCGGGGGTGCGGTGGGGGGCGCCCCGCATCCCCTGGCAGCTGTTCCCAGCCCGGGGCTAACGACACCCCTCTGCGTCTTGAAAGGACGACCCCGGGCTCGCGGGCCGCGACCGCGCACGGAAACCTCGCTGGTGGCGGGGTTTGGAGAGGTTGGTTCTGCCTGGAGCTGCGCGCAGGTGGAGGAGATAATGCAGGAAAAGGCAGACTTAGTTCTGATTTTGTTTTTGGGTGTTTTTTTTTTTTCAATCCTTGCGCCTGGGGAGGGGACGCTGGAATGTAAGCCGCAGCTTTGGGTCTATCCCTGAAGTTCTAGGCTCACCCCCCAGCCCCCCTTGCCCCCGCCCCCCTCCCCCGCCGCGGGGTTTGACCGGGAGCACAAGGGGATGGGTCTGTGTGTTAACCGCGTGCGAGGGTTTTGAACTTGAGCCAGGGGCCGTGGAAACGTGACCAGCCTGCGTCCTCTCGCCCGCAGCCGGCAGGAAAGATGTTCACGGTGCTGACCCGCCAGCCCTGCGAGCAAGCGGGTGAGTGTCTCCCCGGGCCGCCGGCGTGGCTCTCCCCCATCGCAGGGGAACCCCAGCATTGGCTCAGGGTTCTGGTCCCGGCGGCCCCCCCGCCGGTGGCTGTGCGGTATCATCCTCTCCAGCTGGATGCGCAGAGCTGCTCACCGGCTCCCACCACGGGCATGCCTCCCGGGAAAGTAATGCTTTTCATCCAAGCGACACAAAACAAGGGCGAACATGCAGGCTCCGATCAAACGGTTTTTCCGGTTTGCATAATCCGCTCATTGGGCCCTTGTGGTTTCCCTTACCCCGTGGTGTGTGAGGTTGGCTTCAGGATCGTGTTGATTTTGCGATGAACTTCAAAGTGCTGGGAGCTTTCCTCCTTCAAGCACAGCATCCTCCAGCCCCCACCACCGTCAGCATTGTTCCTGTGGATGCTCCTGCAGGTACATGTGTGGAATTCACACACACACACACACACACACACACACACACACACACACACTTCCAAGTTTGCCCCACCTGCCTGCCTTTGGAGCACTCTGCCATTGCTCCTGTGAAAGCCAGGAAGCCTCTGACCTCTCCTCTCCCAGGTGGGCCCATGGTAATTACCGTGTTTGTGTGTCCCGCCCTAATGATATAGCACAGCCCTAGGCCCTGTGCCCTACATGAATGAGACCTTCTCTAGTCCATTTTGCTTCGTGCGAGATTTTTTTCTGCTGGGGCAAGTATTTGCTTAAGGTAATCACAGCGTTTTACCCCAAATCTGCTGAGGCGCGGAGGACTGGGGAGGCGAACGTGTGTCTGTGGTCAGGAGACTGCTTACCTATGACCCCGCCTCCCACCGGTGGCTAGATGCTCTTTTTTTATAAATATATTTTATTGATTTCTTTTTTACAGAGAGGAAGGGAGAGGGATAGAGAGTTAGAAACATCAATGAGCGAGAAACAGCGATCAGCTGCCTCCTGCAACCTCCCACTGGGGATGTGCCAGCAACCAAGGTATGTGCCCCCTACGGGAATCGAACCCTAGACCCCTCAGTCCGCAGGCCCTCGCTCTATCCACTGAGCCAAACCAGTTTCAGCCAGATGTTGTTTAGTTGTGCCCCACCGTTGGGTATTCTTGTCTTCCAAGAGGATATGATGGTAGGATAGTGGGGACAAATTTATACCATTTAAAAAAAAAAAGGGGGTGGGGAATTGTATCTAAGGAGCTGATTTACTTTGATCTCCAGGTTTTCCCCTTCACACTTTTGACATTTTAACACAGATCTGTTAACATCACACCTACAGACTGACTTGTTACATTCCTCCCACGGGACAAGTTTCACCTGCAGATTAAGCTCCACCATGTCTTGTTAGGGGTGGGGGGTGTCCCTTAAACTGACATTGACAGGTGTTTTTTTTTTTAAAGTTGATACAAGAGCCGAAACCGGTTTGGCTCAGTGGATAGAGCATCGGCCTGCGGACTGAAGGGTCCAGGGTTCGATTCCAGTCAAGGGCATTTACCTTGGTTGCGGGCACATCCCCACTGGGGGGTGTGCAGGAGGCAGCTGATCGATGTTTCTCTCTCATTGATGTTTCTAACTCTCTATCTCTCTTCCTCTCTGTAAGAAACCAATAAGATATATATATATATATATATATATATATATATATATATATATATATATATATATAAAAAGTTGATACAAGAGCTTGCCTCTGTGGATAAGCTGGTTCCTGGTGGTCTCCAGCGTCAGAACAGTGACCTAGGACCTGACGGTCCTCCATGGTGGCTGGACCCCTTCAGCTGCTGCTACAAAGGAGCCAGCAGAGAGTAACTGTGTGTTATTTTACACACACACAACTCCCGCCTTCTGTGGAATAGGTTCCCAGGGGTGGGATTGCCAGTCAGATGGCATACCTGCTTGCTGTTGTCAGTAAATACTGGCACTCTGCCTCCCACTGGTGCTGTGTTAGTGCTCTCTCCCAGGGACAAGGTAGAAGATTGAGGCTGTGAAGCGACCACCTCTGACGTTGGGAAATGTCTGTGGCAGCGTCGACACAGCAGGGAGATCAGATGGGGCAGAAATAAACTTCCATGAGCCCACCCTAGTTGGTTAAGACCTAATCTGCTTGTAATCGTTCAGTTTAGCAATATTAGTTTAAATTTAATAGACATAGTTTGTTATGATACATTATGTATTGTACAAGTAGAGGCCCCATGCAAGAAATTTGTGCATGGGGGTGGGGGTCCCTCAGCCCAGCCTGCACCCTTTCACAATCTGGGACATCCCTCTCATTTCAAGACTGCTGGCTCCTAACCACTTGCCTGCCTGCCTGATTGCTCCTAATCACTTGCCTGCCTGCCTGGTTGCCCCTAACCATTCACCTGCCTGCCTGCCTGACTGATCACCCCTAGCCATCTCTGCCTCGGCCCCTGCCACAGTGGCTTCATCTGGAAGGATGTCAGGAAAGATGTCCAGAAGGTTGTTCGGCTGTCCAGTCTATTTTGCATAGTTCTTGTTTATTATTGTAGATATGTATATACATTATATATTATATAATACATGCAGTTATATAATGATCTTTACTTAGTGTCTATATATTTAAGAGTATTCATGTGCTTGTTTTTTGCTTTTAAATGGGTAGAGTTTACATATTATGATTAAAATACAAATCCTAGCAATTACATGATCCCTTTGGGACGAGACATGGGGATTGGGGTCTAATTTGTCTTTATGAAGATCTAGGGAGACCTAATGCCTTCACTGTAGACACAGCAAGCATCGCTGAGTGTGAGTTCTTATTGGGAACCCAAATGCTTTAGGAATTTAGACATGTTATATCAGTTGCTCTACAATAGTGAGTCATTAATTATATCTGAAGTACCATATTAATTTCTTCTTATTTATCTGAGATTAATTTTAAATGAAATATTACCTGCTTTAATGAAAAACCCATGTTTTTCTAATCTGCACTGAAACAAATGTTATTGTAAATCTTCTCAGGGACAACCAGTAATATGCATAACATATTTTGAGAAATACCAGAAAACTAAACTGTGCATACCGAAAACTAATATAATACTGTACACAACATATATATGTATATATATAATGTAAAATATAATATGTACAAATTTTATTTATATGTATAATAAAAACTAACATATATATATATATATATATATATATATATATATATATAAAATGAATACGATGCTACATAAAACTAAATACCAGAAAACAAACCATGCAAACACGGTTTAAGTCCACTCTTTGGAGGAAAGGCAAGTGGGTACTAGAGCCCAACTGCTTCTCCACCTTGAGCGTGTGGGCATCTCTACAGCCAGAAGTGACTTGTACCCATGACTGTGCACCCAGCTCCTGGGCTCTGCAGAGATGGCGAGTGTCTAGTTCCTGCCTCCCCCGCGTAAGTCTTCTCGGTCTTCCCGTTTCAGGCCTCAAGGCCCTCTCCCGCACTCCAGTGGTCATCGCCTTGGTGGTCCTGATTGTGAGCGTCGTGGTCCTCGTGGCCATCACCCTCATCCAGATCCACCAGCAGGAGGTCCTCGTCCCGGGACTGAAGGTAAGCGGGGAAGGGTTGGCATGGAAGGGACGCAGTGGGCTATGGCATCACTCATTCTAACGCCGAGAGAGATAGAGAGCTAGAAAAGCATTCTCCCCGCCTCCAGCTGGAGCCTGGGAAGACGGTGTGAGACCCCAGGGAGAAGGTCCGGGCATGCTGGGTTTGTGATGTTTGAGGCGCCAGTTTGATTGTGGGGACACCTTTCCCAAGGGCTATGTGGTTTTGCTTTGACCCCTGACGATTGGAATCAAAGCATGACTTTGTGGCCAATAGCAAATGGCTGCCAAAGACTTACCAACTTGTCGGTTTCCCCAGAGCACACATCTCTCCCTGATCACGAGTGGAGGGCAGGAGAGCCAGGCTCCTCCTCTGGGTGAACAAAATCTCAAGGACTTGAGAAGATCTCCTGGAACTGTGTTTGGGCCTACAAATGTGCCATGATCCCTCTAACTCTTCCCCCCCTCTCGCCGCCCCCCCCCCCAAATTTCTCAGGACCTTATGCTCTGTTCCAGAGACCTCTCTCAGCCCGTGATACATAAGTGCATCCCAGACGGCCTCCTGGAGGACTCTGGCAGGCTGAGAATCATGAATATCGCCCAGCCTTGGCTGTAAGAATGATGGGAGGGAATCCTATAAGGGACTGTCAAATGAAAGGCAGACAGTCATTGATCCCTTCTGCCACATGAGTAGAGGTCAGCAAACTTTCTGCGAAGGGATAAATAGTACATATTTAGGGTTTGAGGGCCATTTATAATCTTGTTACTCATACTCTCTTTTGTTTTGTCTTCTTAACTCTTTAAAAATGTCAAAAACCACCTGGCCGGTGTGACTCAGTGGTTGAGCATTGACCTGTGAATCAAGAGGTCCCCAGTTCAATCCCTGCTCAGGGCACATGCCTGGGTTGAAGGCTCGATCCCCATTAGGAGGCAAGCAGGAGGCTGCTAATCTATGTCTCTTATTAATGTTTCTCTCCCTCTCCCTTCTCTCTCTAAAGTCAATAAAAACATACTTTAAAAAAAAAACAACAGTTAAAAATGTAAAAACCCTTCTTAGCTGGAGAGACATAGGGCCAAGCTCATCTGTGTTATTTGAATTTGTGCATTCATTGCATGTGCCCTGACCAGGGATCAAACCTTGGCGTATCGTGATGATGTTCAGACCAACTACACTACCTGGCCAGGGCCAGTGGAATCTCCTTTAGCCTTTACACTTGGCCTCACAATTCCTTCTGCGTCTTCCTACTGTTAGTGACTGCTCCGCGGCTATATTTGAAGTAGACGTTTTTAAAAAATATATTTTTATTGATTTTTTACAGAGAGGAAGGGAGAGAGAGAGCTAGAAAGGTCGATGAGAGAGAAACACCGACTAGCTGCCTCCTGCACACCCCCTACTGGGGATGTGCCCGCAACCAATGTACATGCCCCTGACCGAAATCAAACCTGGGACCTTTCAGTCCGCGGACTGATGCTCTACCACTGAGCCAAACCGGTTTCGGCTGACGTAGACGTTTTTAAAGATAAGAAACTACTATCGCCGTGGCTCGGGGTCTGCAGGAAATGTAGGCAGAGCATGGATGTGGGGTCTGAACCGTCCCTCCGCCTGCAGTCAGCATCCAGATGCATAAGGCCTCTACTTTGTGGAACTGCCCGGGGTGGGAAAAGGACCAGTGGAAGGGGTGGGCAGGGCAAACGCCTTCATCTGTAAAATCACCCCTCGGGCCCACAGAAGCCAGGCGTGGGCTGGTGAAGGCGGTTGCCAGCCGCTGGCTCCCACTCATTCTGGGAGGTGAGAGGTGAGTCCTCTGTCCAGCCTGGGGGACATGAGGGGTTCGAGGACTGGAAGAGGGAGCTGAAAAGTAGACCCCGAGGCATACGGAGGGCACCATGGAAGGAGAGGGCCACCCATGTTCAATGCTACTGCCCCGGGTGGGTCCCCTTAACAAAGATCTGAGTGCAAGCAGGTCATCTAGGGATGGTTCCAGAAGCACAGAGAGGGGAGGGGGATGTGAGGCAGGAGGAAGGCAGTCTCTGGGGGGCCTGTGAGCCAGCAGGTTACCCCGTGGGCACCTGGGACTCGGTCCTGCTGGGGCTGCCTGGAAGTCAGCGCAGAACCCACGGCAGGGCTGTCCTCCACAGAGGGGGAGGGGCACACGGAACACCTGCCTCCAGCTCTCCCTCTCTTGGGCGTATTTACACGCCAACACCCATCACTCATCAGTTGAGAGGCAGCTGATGGATGCTTCTCCCCGGGGAACGGTAACTCCGGTGTTTCTGGCACATGATGCGCGCGGGTTGGCTCAGGCCACGAGAGAGAGGGTCTGCGGACAGGAGGAGAGCGCAGGGTTGGCCATCACGGCGGGAAGGTCTGAGGGACCGTGGGCAGGAGCCCCCGTGACTGTTCCCTGTAGATACAGTTATCATTACCCCCCTTTGCAGGGGAGGACATAGAAGGACAGAAAGGGGAATAATTGGCGTCCCAGAGTTACACAGATGGGACAGGGCAGGACTGGTATGGAAGGAGGGGCTTTTTAAGAGAGAGAGAGAGAGAGAGAGAGAGAGAGAGAGAGAGAGAGAGAGAGAGAGAGAGGGAAAGAAACATCAATTCATTGTCCCACTTACTTATGCATTCATTGGTTCCTTCTTGTACGTGTCCTATCCGGGCTTTGGACCCCAAACCCTGGTGTATCAGGAAGATGCTCCAACCCACGGAGCCACCTGGCCAGGGCTCAGAGGGGCTTTTTAATCCCTGCAGAGTCTTGCTTCGGGCCCAGGCACCCCTGTCAGGGACAGGAAGTTGTGTAGCGTTGGGAGGTTGGCTCAGAAGGGCCCTTCTGCCTCACCGGCCCATTAACGTGAGAAAAGACACCCGCTCCGGGCCAGCGGAGCCAGGAGGAGGAGGACAGGCTGGGAAGAGAACGTCCACATGCAGCTCTCCTCAGCGCCAGCGGTCTGTCCTCTGGCTGGGTGTGCGGGGAGGAGTGGGAAGGGAGAAGGGGGAGAAGGGGGAGAAGTGAGGCGGGGGCTGGTTAAGGTGGGGGATGGGGGAGGGGGGGAGGGTTGACTGAGTAAAGAGGGCGTTTTCATTGTCATGTTTATGTTGTCATACCTGGAGCCCCCTTTTCCTTGGTGCACACCTGACAGTTGGTTAGGAGGAGCCAACCCCACCGTGGCCTGTTGGGGGCGGGGAAGGGGGGGCGAGGAGGAGGCGGGATGTTCCTCAGGACCCTCGTGAAAGGTCACGGTGTCTGGCAATTCAGTCCAACCAGAGCTTTCCTAACCAAGGCTTGCCTGAGTTTAAGAGCGCAACTAGTAAGACTTAGTTAAGGGTCAAAATGCCCCCCGGTCCCCTTTTCACTGCTACTGGTCCGACCTGCTCTACCAGCTGCAAGTGTAAACACGGTGACATCACTGTTCCTTTCACTCAGCCCCCACTGGCTTTGGTATCAAGTCCCGGATCTTCCTCCTGAGCCTTCCTGTCCCCACCTCCCATCAGCCACTGTCCCAAGCCCTGGAGCTGCTCAGCCCGGTGTAGCCCATGATGTCACTGTTGAAGAGGGAGGGGCCTGCACCATCTCAGGGTTTCCAGGGGCGCGGCTCTTCAGCAGTGACATGGGCCACTCTCCCTAGCTTTGTCATTACTGTCCTAGGCACAGCCACTGGGCTCCTCGGCGTTGAAACCATTCCTTCCGACCCCCTCAAACTGGGGCCCACAGCCTGGCTCTCTGGGGCCCACCTGCTCTGCCCCTGCAGGGGGGCAGTTGGTTTCTTCCTTTCCAGAAAGCCTGGGCTCCTTGTCCAATGGGGACCTCCTCCCCAGCCAGACCTGCATCCCCCGTAACCAGGAGTTTGATTTCAGAGACTTTTTGTTGAACAGCCGGTCTGCCAGGCCGCCTCAGGCACCTCTTGGCTAAACAGGCCCCTGCTAGACTGAGCCCTGGGAACTGGATGGAAGCGTGGGGAGTAGGAGGACAGGTGTGAGAGTCCATGAGACCCAGGCTTGATCCCAACGCTGTGCCCTTGGGCAGTTGCCACGGGAGCCTCGGTTTCCCCATCTGTTTAATGGGGATGATGGAAACGCCTGCATTATATACGCAGAACCAGGAAAGCACGTGGTGCCGTGCCTGGCGTATTAATAAGTCCTAAGTAAATATTTGCTGCTACTTTTATTCTCTTATAGTAACAGGAATGATGATGATGATAGTAATACTGCTGCGACTCCTGACAGTAAAGAAATCTGAGGAAGCTGAATTCATGACCTTCGCTTTTGCTCTTGCCAGAAGCTCACACGGTCCTTCCGTTTGGGGCCACAGGGTCCATGAGGAAGGCTGTTTCCCGTGGGCTAACCCACATCCCAGCCCTGTTCCTCTCTGAAGCTATGTTAGACAGAGGGTTCCTTACTGTTTCTCACCCCAACATCACCCATCCGGCTGACCTGAATGGAACTCATCCCCTCTCCCCTCCTCCATGGAGCCACACCGATCGAGGCAAAGGAGCTCTGAAACCTGGGCACAGACCCATGTTCCCACTTGAAAATGTCAGTGATCGGTGTTGGGGGCGAGGATCGGTGAGACTAGAAGTAGCACTGGGCCTCAAGGCTGGCCCCTGTCCTCACATCAGCAGGTGCCCTGGGGGCTGCCATCTCTCCAGGGTCACCAAGCCGAGTCTCTGGCTCCCCACCCTCACCCCCACCCCCACCCCGTAAGAACTGGATTCCAGCTGGATTCCACATGAGAATGGATGTTCTTCCTTCTCCCTGGCCTAGGCACAGCAGTCCCGGGCTTCAAACACAGGCAAACGCATGCTTTGTGAAGGGTTGGGACAGAGACGTAGGGAGAGGCAGGGACCCCCTGGAGGGAGTCCCTGTTCCCTTATTCTCTCTCTCCTGGGGAAGGGGGATGGGGGGAGAGGGAACCAGACCTGGAAGGGCCGGTACAGGGGTGCGGATCAGCTCCACAGTGGGAGGGAGGAGAGAAAGCAAACATAATGTGGAGCTCAGGCCTCCCTCCTGCCTGCTCTCCCTCCTGCCTTTGGGTTTCGACCGGCACTTTAATCTCTCCGAGCCTCTGCCCATCTCTCTGCCCGGGAGGGACGGCGAACAATGACTCCCTTCTTCCCCGCGGAAGGTGTCGGGTCAGGATCCCGATCAACATTCGTCAGACTGAAGGGCTGAGATTAAGAGGCTGCCCAAGTTCAAATACCAGTGAACACAGGATGTTCTCCCTCACGTCGGGGGGGAAGCTGGGATGTGGGAGCCAGAGCAGCAAGTTTTTATCACTTGGTCCCATTTCAGACGAAGCAAAAATTCGCGAAGTAGAAAGTTGGAAGCCTCCTACATGTCTGGAATCGGGGAACCGGTTCAATAAATTACTGTAACTCTGTCAGCGGACGCGGGGAGTGTACTGAAAATGGCTCTGTTGGCAGGGAGACAGGTTCCTAACATCATTTTAAGTAAGAGAGAAGCGTTGGAAAAGACTACGTACACTATGTTCCCGTGTTGTTTTAAAGACATATGTCTAGCCCTGGCCCGAGTGGCTCAGTAGGTTGGGTGTTATCCCATGCACCGAAAGGTTGCTGGTTCGGTTCCCGGTCAGGGCACGTGTCCAGGTGGCAGGCTCGATTCCCAGTAGGGGGCGTGCAAGAAGCAGCCGATGGGTGTTCTGCTTTCACGCTGATGTTTCTCTTTCTCCTTTCTTCTCTAACAATCAATAGAAGAATCTTTTTAAAAAGGAAAAATAGGAATACTTTAATTTTGAGGGCTGATTCAGATATTCACGCGTCTCCCTTGTGCGAACACCCCACCGATAGTTCCCTTTTGGTTGTTTATTCCAGGAAGACAGGCATGGGAAGTCTGGAGCGTAGAGGGCAGGAGGTGACTGACTGTTCATTTCCCTCCTGAGCCCCAGGGGGCTCTGTCCCCGACCTCAGAGGTCTGGAGGAAGGGGACTCACGGGCCTGTCTTTTTATCCAAGGTCCGTCCTCGAACACTACGTTTCAGCCTTGGCTGCATGAGGAGTCAGTCACCAGGGGAGCTCTAAGAACTGCTGATGCCCGGACCCTCTCCGATGGATTCCGATGGAGAGGGTGTGGTGCACAGGCTTGGCACTGGGAGCTTCCAGAGCTGGTTCTGGATTCTAATGTGTGGCCACGGCTGAGAATCGTGCCCTAGGACATCGGCCCTCCCTCCCTGTGTCCCCTCCTCCCCCCACAGTCCAAGGGGACAGCACTGGTCTGGAGCACATAGTGTTTTCTTCTCAGTCAGCCCTTTCCTACGGGAAGCAGTGTGGATAAAGCTTGTGAGAGTGTTCGGGGCCTGCCGGGGAAAGCAGTTTCCAGAGAAGGCCAGCCCATTTCTGACCTTTCTGACCCCTTCCCCTCCCCCATCGTGCAGTACGGAATCGTGCTCGATGCCGGGTCTTCCAGAACCACCGTCTACGTGTACCAGTGGCCGGCGGAGAAGGAGAACAATACCGGAGTGGTCAACCAGACCAGCAAGTGCAGCGTGAGAGGTAAGGCCCCGGTGGGGCTGTGCGGTGTCCTTGAGGGCCGGGAGGGGTCCCGAGAAGCTGCCTGGACTGGGGGGCCAGGAACCGGTGAGATCTGCCTGTGCTGCTACTCGTCAGTAACCGTGACCTTGAGTCAGTCACTGCCCTTCTCTGGGCGGCCGTGTTCTCATCTGTGAAACATAGAGGCCTGCAAAGACCTTGTATGCATAGATGCACAACCCATGGACACAGACAAGAGGGTGGCGAAGGCAGGGGTGGGAGTGGGCTGGAGGGGGTCCTTGGTGGGGGGGAAGAGGACATATGTAATACTTTCAACAGCAAAGAATTTAAAAAACAAATAAATGAAACAACAGCAACAAAACCCACAGAGGTTGGGGGGGAGGGGGTGTGTGAAGAACTGTGAGTGGTCTGAGAGGTCACCTGCCGCGCTCTCGTGCATGCTGGCGGGAGACACACAGATACAGGGCCGTTGGTTATTCACACAATAGCAGTAGCCAGAGCATCAGCGCGTCGTCATAGGCTGGTTCTCTGAGGAGGGTGCAAAGCGGGCCAGACAGTGTCTGCTCGCACAGTGGGCTGTGTTACAGAAGAGGAACCTGAGCTGAGGGAATCTGAAACATTTATAAAGGGCACTGAGCGTGCCTGCCTTCTGCGCTGGGTGCAACTCCTCTCTGTCCTCCGAGCCTGTCCGCTGTGTAAACATCCTTGAAAAATAACCCAGAACAAAGGCAATCAGTGTCTGTGCTCATAAAACATGCAGGAACACGAGAGACACGTTGTCTCCCAGCAGGGGTATTGGGGGGGGGAGGGAACGGGGTGGGGTAGGGGGGATGGGCAATACAGAAACAAGGAGGCCTGGCTCTGTTCCCAGTGACGCTTTATGCATGGACCCCGAGATTTTGAATTTCGTATCATTTTCACGAGTCGCAAGATACTCTTTCTGCTTCGTTGAACTCCTCTGCCCACCGTTTTAAAATGTAGAAACTGCCCTGACCCGTGTGGCTCAGTGTGGGTGTTGTTCTGTGCACCGCGAGGTTTCTGGTTCGATTCCGGGTCAGGGCACAGGCCCAGGTGGTGGGCTCAATCTCCATTGTAGGGCATGCGGGAGGCAGCTGATCAATGATTTTATCTTACCATTGATGTTCCTCCCTCTCTCTCTCTCTCTCTCTCTCTCTCTCCTGGCGGGCTCAATCTCCATTGTAGGGCATGCGGGAGGCAGCTGATCAATGATTTTATCTTACCATTGATGTTCCTCCCTCTCTCTCTCTCTCTCTCTCTCTCTCTCTCTCTCTCTCCCTTTCTCTACGAAATCAATTTAAAAAAAAACCCCCTTTTTTTTTTTTTTTTTTTTTTAAGAAAAAGTTGAGAGGCAGAATTAGCCTTTCCTAACAGTCTTCTTTTGAAAACAAGGGAGAATTCTGATCACCTGCTCTGCTGTGGAGAGCATCCTGGCCTGGTCTACCCTGATGCATAGGTGTTCCAGTTGGGTTTCAGCTAGGGGTACCAGGTGGTGACTAGAGACCCATGCATGTTGAAGGAGCAGGTAAGAAGAAGGATTAGGCTGAAGCCGGTTTGGCTCAGTGGATAGAGTGTCGGTCTGCGAACTGAAGGGTCCCAGGTTCGATTCAAGTCAGGCGCATGTACATTGGTGGCGGGCATGTCTCTGGTGGGGGGTGTGCAGGAGGCAGCTGGTCGATGTTTCTCTTTCATGGATGTTTCTAGCTCTCTATCCCTCTCCCTTCCTCTCTGTAAAAAATAAAAAAAAAATAAAAAAATCAATGGAATATATTTACAAAAGAAAAAGAAAAGAAGGATTAGACAGAAGAGTGATAAAGTGCAACACAGGCCTGGCAAAACTTCAGCCAATCATAGTTTTCTTTGGACTGAAATGGCCTGGAGTGGCCAGGTAGCTAGACAGTCCTTCCGCCTCCAGGCCTTCCTTGTTGCCACCCTGGGAAGAGCCAAGTGTTGAGCAGGGCAGCTCCCTATGGGGCTGAGGCAACCCCTGACGTTGCTGGTGGCTGGGACAACATGTCTTTATGGGATGGGCGTCTGCGTGGCACCCCTCAGGGCTCATCACAACGAGGAAGTTGGATGTTTCCCGGTGCTGCTTGTCGCCTTGCTCCGACCTGAGCCAGAAACCCCATCTCTATTCTCCCGATGTCTGAGCTGTTTCCCTGGGCGTGAGAGAGAGCATCAGGGTGCTTGTTTAGAAAAGAGAGACCCCCCCCCCCCATTTCAAGAAGAGAGGAGAGTGGAGAATAGTGGTTAAGACGTCCCCTCATCCCTGCTGTGAGCTCTGGAAAGGTATCTCGACCCCCTCATCTCTCAGACAACACGAAGCATAGCAAGAGCAAAGCCTCCCCCATAGGAAAGATATTTGAAGATTAAATGGCATCATACATGGAAAGCAGGTAGCAAACGCCTGGCACACACTGAGCACTCCATACGTGTTAGCTGTTATTGTTCACGGGGCCTCACACGTTAGGTCCTCGGTGCCAGAGTTATAGGGTCTGTTTGACCCGGGAAAGCTGCTTAGCCAGATCAGCCCTGATGTCCCTCTGCTGCGTAGGGAGACGTGCGACTGTCAAGGGAAGGAACACGGCAGCCTCTCGGGGGCGGGGGCCTCGGGCCCCCCAGGGTGGGATTTAAGGGTGGAGCGAGGTCATGGAGCCACACCGCCTCCATAAACGGATCGCCCCTCCTTTGATCCAGAAGCCTCAGTGATCCACATTTACCCTGACCGGCCAAAGGACCACAAGCGAAGGCTTAATGACAGAGCTGACTTTGGTTAAGAGTCACCCCCTGGAGGACATGTGGCTTCTCGGAGGGTAATTTGGGTTTCTGGTTTCTCAATTGCAAATTTCCCCCGGGACTCCCCCGCCTTAGGCAGTCCCGGTGGATGTGGAATGCTTGCTTGCCTGGCTGTGTTTCCAGAATGCCTGGGCCCTCGGATATGTATTTCCCGGGCCTCCCTGGTGTGTGTCAGTCTAGGTTGCTGCTCTTTTCCGGGTGTCCACTGGGTGCTGGTCCCTGTGCTGGAGCTCTTATTGGGGGGATTGGTTCCTTGAGACCCCTCTTCTGTTTCGCTGTGGGCGGCGCTCTTGCCTGCTGCTGCCTCCTCCCACAAGGGACACTCGTGTTTTCCATTTACACCGGTGCTTAGGACCTCCTCAACCCCCACGGGAGCCTTCTCCTCTATGGAAACCCCTCCAAGAGTCGCCCTAACGACCAGCCACTCCGGTGTGGACAGCACCCTTTGCTCAGACACGTATGTCTCATGCTGCTGTCCCACCGGGAGTAAGTTTTGTGTCGTCTACCCACCCTCCGTCCCCAGGTTGGAATACAGTTTTAACTCTGTCCTTGGGGTTGAGAATCCCAGTGTCCCAAGAGCCTATGAGCCCAATCTTTTCCCCCCTCTAGGGGTCTTAAGGGACCTTATGTGAACAGGGGACATGCTCGGATGTTCCAAGGGTGGATATTCTAGCAAGGCTGCTAACCAGCCCCCATCCAGAGGCCGGCTCTGGCAGAATATAGTTTGTTTGCTGCAGCTGGGAGCAAAGGAATCCCTTCCTATAGAGTTGGTTTGAAATCTCATTGACTGGTTGATCCTTACTTCATTCTTTTATTTAATAAACTAGAGGCCCAGTGCATGAAATTTGTGCATGGGGAGGGGGTGCTCCCTCAGCCTGGCCTGCACCTTCTCCAATCTGGGACCCCTTGGGGGACATCCCTCTCGCAATCTGGGATCACTGGCTCCTAACCACTTGCCTGCCTGCTTGCCTGATCGTCCCTAACCGCCTCTGCCTGCTGACCTGATTGCTCCTAACCGCCTCTGCCTACCCACCGGATTGCCCCCTAACCACCCTCCCCTTCCGGCCTGATCGCTCCCCACTACCGGCCTGATTGTCCCTAACCACCTCTGCCTTGGCCCCTGCCACCGTGGCTTTGTCCAGAAGGATGTCCAAAAGATGTCCGGTCTAATTAGCATATTACCTTTTTATTAGTATCAATGTTTACTGGGTACCTGCCATTTGCCAGTAACATCTCTTGAGACTGGGAATTGTGAAACAAACAAAATACACAGTCTCTGCTGTTACAGAACGTACATTCTAACGAAGGAGATAGCTCATAAACAGATATGCGATACGTCAGGGAGAAGTTCTGCGAAGAGAAATCAAGCCAGGCAGGTGGACAGACAGTGATTATGCTATTTTAGACATGATCTTTGGGGAAGAACGAAAAAGTTGACAGTTAAGCAGAGACAAAAGTAGGACAAGAGAGTGAGCCATGCAAGTTTCTGAGAGAAGAACATGCTGAGCAAGCCACCAGGAGGAGCTGCTCAGCATTTTCTAGGAAAAGCAAAGGGGCCAGGGTGGCTGGAGCAAGAAGAGGAAGAGGAAGGGAGAGAGGAGACCAAAGCTGAAAGCCAATAGGAGAATCTGATCAGGGAACTAACATGCTATGACTTATCATTTTATTTATTTATTTAAAAAAATATTCTATTGATTTTCTACAGAGAGGAAGGGAGAGGGATAGAGAGTTAGAAACATCGATGAGAGAGAAACATCAACTAGCTGCCTCCTGCACACCCCCCCCATTGGGGATGTGTCCGCAACCAAGGTACATGCCCCTGACCGGAATCGAACCTGAGACCCCTCAGTCGGCAGGCTGACGCTCCATCCACTGAACCAAATCGGTTTTAGCATGACTTATCATTTTAATGGATCCCTCTGTTGATACAGAACATGTGGTGATAAACAGTGCGGGTGACAGATGGTGCCGTGATGGTCTGGTGGACAGGTGCTTCTCAGCAGGGGGGGATTTCCCCCCATCCGCCTGTTCCAGCCACCCCCAGGGAACATTTGGTAATGTCTGGGGACATTTTTGATGGTCCCAGCTGGGGTTGGGGAAGGTGCTGACACCTAGTGGTAGAGGACAGACTTGCAGCTAAACATCGCACAAGGCACAAGGCAGCCTCCACAAAAGTTATCTGGCCCAAGGTGAGCAGTGCTGAGGTTAAGAAACTCTGGTCTGGAATGGCTCTGGGGGACAGGGTGAGGTGGGCTCAGATTGGAAAGCTGTTTTGACAGGAGAGCCAACAAGAATTAAGGATAGATTCAATGTGCGGCATGGGATTGATGGTGCCTGAGCATCCGTTCTGAACTGGTAACTGCAGGTGATGGTACCATTTCCCTGGAGTGCAGTCAGCTGGGGACTTGCAGGGATTGAGGAATTTGATTTTGGACACAGGAGCTGGATGGAGGGGCCTAAGTCAGGCTGGCAAATGTTTTCTGTAAAGAATTAAGTAGTAGCCCTAGCTGGTTTGGCTCAGTAGATAGAGCGTCGGCCTGTGGACTGAAGGGTACCAGGTTCGATTTTGGTCAAGGGAATATACCTTGGTTGTAGGCACATCCCCAGTGGGGGGTGTGCAGGAGGCAGCTGATCGATGTTTCTCTGTCAGTGATGTTTCTAACTCTCTATCCCTCTCCCTTCCTCTCTGTAAAAAATTAATAAAGTGTGTGTGTGTGTGTGTATATATATATATATATATATTTTTTTTAAGAGTTAGGTGGTAAATACTCTTTACTTGTTGGCCACATGGTTTCTGACATAAGCATGTAACTACCACATGAGCATGAAAGCAGCTACAGTTAACAGGCAGACAAAAAAAAATGTATTTCAAGAAAGCTCTATTTCTGGACACTGTACATGCCTAGTGGGATATTCCCCTAGGACAGAAAGAACTTTAAAAAAAAAATCTTAAACTGTTTTCAATAATGATACAGTCTAAGTGTTGGTAGTGCAGTGTTGTCATACTGAGACTTGCGTGTGGACTGTGAAATAAAGTAAATGAGTTGTTAAGTTGGAGTGCTAGCAAGCAGGATTTGTAGCATAGAAAAAAGAAGATGAGGATAGGAAAATCAAAGAATTTCAGTAAAAACTTATAGTTTTGAATTAGAAGCACCAACAAGAATTCATGATATATTTTTCTCTTGAAATAAAGATTTCCCGAGGTCTCTCCAATGAGAAAACTTACAGTGAGCACTGTAGCTTCTAAACTTTGGGTGCTAAATACCATTACTCAATGAAAGCAACCAGGTCACTGACACATCTTATCATGTCAGAGAGCAAAGAACATCTCAGGGGACTCAGGGCCAACTGAAGAAGGCTCAGTAAGAACAATTGCAGTGAATTAAAACACATCAAATATGCCTTTCTATGTTCGAAAGACACAAAACAAACAAAATCTCTCTTTGACTGAGAGAGAGATTGGAGATGCAGTCTGTATTTTTAAGCTGGTGAATAAAGGAACGGAATCAAGCACTTATCCTGTCTTCTCTGGACAAACGATACTCTAGGGCAGCGGTTGGCAAACTGCGGCTCTTGAGCCATGTGCGGCTCTTTGGCCCCTTGGGTGTGGCTCTTCCACAAAACACCACGGCCTGGGGAGTCTATTTTGAAGAAGTGGCGTTAGAAGAAGTTTAAGAAATTTGGCTCTCAAAAGAAACTTCAATCGTTGTGCTGTTGACATTTGGCTCTGTTGACTAAAGAGTTTGCTGACCACTGAGACTAGGGTATCCAGGTGGTGAATGATGGTGTAGCTCTTCTATAGCATTTCAGGGGGGAAATATCACCATTTTCAGGCCCTACTGGACCGATGGTTCTCAGCAGTGATCATTGGTGCCTGCATCTGAAAAGAAACAGCCAGCCGAAACCGGTTTGGCTCAGTGGATAGAGCGCCAGTCTGCGGACTGAATGGTCCCAGGTTCGATTCCGGTCAAGGGCATGTAAATTGGTTGTGGGCACATCCCCAGTGGGAGGTGTGCAGGAGGCAGCTGGTCGATGTTTCTCTCTCATCGATGTTTCTAGCTCTCTATTCCTCTCCCTTCCTCTCTGTAAAAAATCAATAAAATATATTTTTAAAAAAAAGAAGAAGAAGAAGAAGAAAAGAAAAGAAAAGAAAAGAAAAGAAAAGAAAAGAAAAGAAACGAAACAGCCAGACACTGGCACCTCCTATTGGAAGTATGCACTGATGCCTATGAATTCTTGCTTCTGATGTAGCTCAAACCTGAGTCCGAGTAAGCCTTGGCATTCAGTTTCCAATTCCTAGGAAAAACGGGGACCAAATAGCATGTTAAATGAACCATGGGGAGTCGATTAGCAACTTCTAGGCTGCGGGGAACTCTACAAGCCAAATTAAATTGGGAGAGGAAACATTTTTTAATTACCAAGAAAAAATAGAGAAGCACAGCCTCTAGATTAAAAGAGACCTAAGAGATCTACCAACCAATGGCAGAGGGTGGGGTTGATTTGGACTCTGATTCAAATAAACTAGAAAGAGAGGGGTGAGGGCGAGGAAAAATATGACCAAAGAGGACATGTGAACCTTAACTAGATATTGGACGATATTAAAGGACGATTGTAAGTGCTTATAGGTATGCTAGTGGGGTGGTGGTTATGCTGCTTTAAAAGAATTCTTGTCTTTAGTGATATGTGCTGAAATATTTACAGGATGAAAAGATGCCATGTCTGCGGTTTGCTTCTGAGGAGAGAATGGGGGCGGGGGTGCAGGTGGAGTAAGAGGTGATCATGGTTGAAGCTGGGAGGTGGTGCACGGGTTCACTGCATTGTACTTTCTACTTTTATATATGTTGGAAATTTCCAGAATGAGAACATTTTTTTTGTAAAAATACATTTACTAAGGCAGCATACTATTGGCATAAGGGTAGACTGAGGCTCTCTAGAAGGTGCGGTCTGGATATATTTTATTGATTTTAGAGAGGAAGGGAGAGGGAGAAAGAGATAGAAACATCAAAGATGAGAGAATCACTGATTGGCTGCCTCTTGCACACCCCCTACTGGCATGTGCCCCCGGCCGGAATCAAACATGGGACCCTTCAGTCCGCAGGCTGATGCTCTGTCCATTGAGCCAGACCAGCTAGGGCATGGGTATATTTTTTTAAATTGAACTTATTGAGGTAGCATTGATTAATAACATTATATAAATTTCAGGTGTAAACAACATAATGCCATATCTGTGGACTCTATTGCATGCTCATCACCCAAAGTCGTTTCCTTCCGTTACCATACATTCTATCCCTTACCGACTCAACAACTTTTGTAAGCAGGTCCACCCCCCCACTCTCAGTTTTCTCATCTTTGTCATACCCTCCTTTCTATAGTGGGAGTTGATGCATCCCGGCGACTAGCACACCCACCTATTCTCAACCCCCTCCTAAAACCTCTTCATTTCCAAAGCTGACTGGTTTTGTGGGGTTTTTTAAAATATATTTTTATTGATTTTTTACAGAGAGGAAGGGAGAGAGCTAGAGAGCTAGAAACGTCGATGAGAGAGAAACACCAACCAACTGCCTCCTGCACACCCCCCACCGCGGATGTGCCCGCAACCAACGTACATGCCCCTGACCGGAATCGAACCTGGGACCTTTCAGTCCACAGACCGACGCTCTACCACTGAACCAGACCGGTTTCGGCCAAAGCTGACTGGTTTCTTATTTGAAAGTTGGGCTGCTCTTGTGGGCTCCTGGGGATGCTAAGCAGTGCTGGCTGCTTGCTCTTTAGGCTCGGGGATCTCCAGCTATGGGAAAAACCCCCAAGATGCCCCCAAAGCCTTCGAGGATTGCATACAAAAAGCCAAGGCGAAGATTCCAGCCCACCTACTGGGATCCACGCACGTCTACCTGGGCGCCACGGCGGGGATGCGCCTGCTGAGGTAAGGGCGGGAAGGGTACGGAGCTGCCCGTGGGGCCGAAATAGCCAGGAATGCGCTGGGCCTTGCCAAGAACGTAACTATTTCTGGGACCAAATCCCAAAGGCCCATATTCTGCCATAAATGTGGGCTTTAGAAGTTGGGAAACTTTTCATCTTTATTTTAATTCCCAGGAAGAAATAGTTCTGAAATCGATTCCCTTACCCTCGGCAATTCTAACAAGAACTCTGAGGAAGAGGAAGGTGACATGAAATCTGTTCATGGGGTTGACTCCAGATTTTAGAAAAGTAGAAACTTCCGTTGTTGTTCTTTTTTAAATATATATTTTTATTTCAGAGAGGCAGGGAGAGGGAAAGATAGCAACATCAGTGATGAGAGGGAATCATTGATCAGCTGCCTCCTGCACGCCCCTTACTGGGGATAGAGCCTGAAACACAGGCCTGTGCCCTGACCAGGAATCGAACCCTGCCCTCCTGGTTCATAGGTCAATGCTCAACCACCGAGCCACACCAGCTGGGCAAAAAGTAGAAACAGTGTTTGACAGCTGGTATGTTGACACCTGTGCACAACCAGCTCCACTAAGGGCCACCCATAGCTCTGGAGCTTGTACCCACGTACAAAATGTCACTGAAATTTACTTCAAAACCATGACATTTCTGCACCTCGCCCTGCCCCATCAAAGCCTTTGGCATTACTATGAAACAAACGTCTCATTTCACCCAACTAAGCAGTTCCTTCTAGATTTACAGCCAGGACTTAGCCCAGTTGCCTTGTTTCTGAATGCCATTTCTTCATTATCGTAGTCCATTGGCCTTGAAATAAAAGACAAAATAGTTTGAAAACCCAACAACATGAAACTCAAATCTAGTTAGGGTAGAAGCTGCTCCAAACTTTGAAAATGAGACTTCATCCCCAAAAGATGACACTCATTCTCCTCCCAAGCCCCCTTGTCTGTGATCCCAGTATGTAAGATCGCATGTAGACATGAAGGAAACACAAAGGAACGAGCAAACAGAGCCTCTTTATTTAACATCACCATAAATTTTTTTATTTTTATTTTTTACTTGGATTGGGCCTTTTCCTTGCAGTTTTCCGACCTTTGTTCCCATTCCTGAGTCCTGGTTGACCAAGAGGATCATGGGATCTCCTGGAATCTGCCACGTTTTAAAATGATTGCATTTACCTGAAATAGCAATGATATAGCAATTCCTTCCTTTCGCCTTTTCTTTCACATGCAAACAAAGAACCCAATGTTTACTTCGCTGCTTTTTCCCCCTCCCAATCCTGAGTAAGAAATAACTACAAGGCTCTGTAATGTACAGCCTCTGACCAACACGAGGGGTGGAAAGGTCAACGCTTGGGAGAAGTGATTGAGTGTTCCATTTGAATAAATTAAATATGAACTCCTTCTGATGCGACATTTTAGTTGGCATTTTAGTTGCTAGAAAAAGTCAGATATTTTTTAAAAAAAAATTAATGAGAATCATCCTGGATGAGAACAGATGAAACTAGGGAAACTCTGAGTTATTTTCCAAGCATTGATCGCTTGCTACTGCTTGTTGCACTGCTTTTTCTTCTTGAGCAGTGGTTCTCAACCCTTCTAATGCTTCGGCCCTTCGATACAGTTCCTTAGGCTGTGGTGACCCCCAACCATAACATTATTTTCGTTGCTAATCGTAATGTAAATATCTGTGTTTTCCGATGGTCTTAGGCGACCCTGCTATTGGTTGTCAACCAGTGTCATGACCCACAGGTTGAGAACTGCTGCTGTAGAGCCTAAGACCATCAGAAAACACCGATATTTACATTACGATTCATTAACAGTAGCAAAATTACAATTATGAAGTAGCAAGGAAAATAATGTTGTGGTTGGGGGTCACCACAGCATGAGGAAGTGTACTGAAGGGTCACAGTATTAGAAGGGTTGAGAACCACTGCTCTTGGGCCAAGAGTGAGCCCGCGGCCCTGGCTTTCTTACCACAGTGGTGAAAGGGAAAACAAGGCCCCAGTCAGCTTTCTTCCGAAGGGTGAAATGGCAGCAGATGAAGGGTATGATCACACATGTCCTGGGCGACATGAAACACTTATGTTGCCACCCCTCCCAGGGCAGCACGCTAATGGGTTTCCATCCCGTGACACGCCCCTGAGGGTCATCATATTCCCCCTGGGGAAGCACTCCCAAAGAGCAAAGTAGGGACAGCTGGAAAGTCCACCCTCTTCCTTTCCCCGCCCCCTCCTAGGCTCCCCTTCCTTCTGGCTTGATGAGGGCTCCTTCGGATGGTGCCCCCAAGAGATGGCTTGTACCACTTCTGTGCCTTCACCCCTTTCCTTTCCACTGCTGACCTGAGACGGAGCAGCAATGATGAAGCAAGGGGCTCTTGGGACTAGCTGGCGGCTGGAGGGTGGGACAGGAACAGGTAGGGGAGGAGAGAACAGGGTGCTTTTACTGGAATCTGTTTTCCTGCTCGGCAGGCTGACAGGTGATAAGGGCTCCCTGTTACCCAGAAGCCTCCGCTTGCAGAAGGGGTTGCCTTGTGTGGCACACATCTCGCCCCTGTCAGCAGTGGGCGGGGCGGGTTCGCCTGTTCACCTGCGTGAGGTTATGCTCAGGCTCCGTGGTCTGGGCACTCAGCCTTGTGTGTTCTGTGCCTTGCGTAGGTTGCAAAATGAAACAGCAGCCAACGAAGTCCTTGCAAGCATCCAAAACTACTTCGAGTCCCAGCCCTTTGATTTTAGGGGTGCTCAAATCATTTCTGGGCAAGAGGAAGGGCTATATGGATGGATTACAGCCAACTATTTAATGGGAAATTTCCTGGAGGTGTGTGAAAACAAATGCATGGTTTTTCATCTTGCTATGGACCCCCTTCCCCCGTGGGCGGTAGCTTAAGCAGAGGTGCATGCCAACAGGGGCGTCTGTCCCGTGTCATTCCTATGGGGTGGCGCATTAGGGAAACACGTGAGACCATAGGTGAGAAAAGACTCGCTAGCTGGTGCAAAGCCTTGGATCCTAAGCAGGACTAAACGCATGGGGGGCAGGGACTAGCATCCCTTCGCTAGCAAATAAAACACTGGGGAGGAGGAGAGACTCTTACCCTGGGCGGTGGGTAATAGGAAGGGCCGCTGGAGAATGACTCTTCTAAGCTGGTCCAGAGCCACCCAGAATGTACAGAGCCTCAGGCGGCCCGCTCCCAGGCCCCGTGTCCCCAGGTCTCCGTTACACGCCAACCCCCACACGCCCTTCTCCTTTGGTGCGGAGGAAGGCTGACCCCAAGAGACATCCCGGTGTTACAGAGACCATCCCCAGCCCAAGCCCTATTCTGTTCATCCTCAAACACATGTTCACATTTTCCGTTCATTGCCCACACTTAATATTTTGAAAATTTTCACATAAAAATGCATAGCTTCTCCTGACCCCACTCCGCCCAAGTGCTGGACTCACATTCCTGCATGGTGCCAGCCAACTGGGACGGAGGGCAGCTTCCCCGTTTGCCAGAGTCCCCACCCTTCCCTGTGGTCCACCCCGAACCTCCTTTGCTGGTTTCTGTTACCGGCCCAGCTCCTGTAGGCATGTGAGCTCACCGCCCCTGCCATAAAGGAGAGGTTTGGCCCCGAGTGCCTCCCCCTGTGTCCTCGTCCTTAGCAGTCAGAGATGGGTCTTAGGCGGAGAGCCCTGGGCAAACGGAAAGGGCGTCTCCGGCCTGCTTTCATGCTCTCTTATCCCGCCGTGCAGAAGGACCTATGGCGCATGTGGGTGCGTCCCCACGGAGTGGACACCACAGGCGCCCTGGATTTGGGTGGCGCCTCCACCCAGATATCCTTCGCGGTGGGGGAGAAGGTGGAGCTGAACACCAGCGACATCATAAAGGTGTCCCTGTACGGCTACGTGTACACCCTCTACACCCGCAGCTTCCAGTGCTACGGGCGCAACGAGGCCGAGAAGAGGTTCCTGGCAATCCTCCTGCAGGTACCCGAGGGGGCAGCGGGAGCAGGCGTTTCCGTGGGGGTCTTAGCTGAGGGGAGGGTGCCTTGCCTTCCGGCCCTGTCCCTTCCACTCCAGTGTGAAGGTGGGTGCAATCAACAGCGTATTCCGGTTTACTTGTGGGGGTCTGTGCTCTCTCTGTCTCTGTCTCTCTGTCTCTGTCTGCCCCTCTCTCTCTTTCTCTCCTTCCCTCCTTCTCCCTTCCTGGTTTACTTGTTGGGGTCCAAGTGCTTGTGCTTGCATATTCTCTCTCCCTCCCTCCCTTCCTCTCTTCTCCCCCCCCCCCCCCCCTCTCTCTCTCTCTCTCTCTCTCTCTCTCTCTCTCTCTCTCTCGTGTTGACCACTTCGTGTATTTGAGTCAGAATTCCAAGGACATTCCAGAGCTCCAGACATTTTATAAATGATTGAGTCCCAGGATCCCTTTATGGCTGGGCCGGGGACCGTCAGCCACAGGGCTATATAAGGCCTTTGAAATCCTTTGGTCTGGCCCTGCCAAGCATTAAGTCTCAGCCAGCATGCCTCTTTCCAGGAGAAAAGCCCGGGAAAATCCTCTTCTCTCAACCTCCTGTTATTTCAGGCAAAGCTTAATGCTCCTTCCTGCAGCTCTGGCCCTGGCAGGGGGGGGGGAAGGGAGGGCAGGGGGCTCCTCAGAACTCCGACAGACAGAAGGGGGCAGGTGAAACCATCCTCCCAGGTGAGCAGGGGGCAGGGAGTCTAACCTTTTCAAGTCAGCTGGCCCTGAGGAGGCGCACCTGTCTGAGGTCCATTTGCATATGAAAACACAAGCTTCCAGGTGTGAGTCCGGGACTGGGGGCAGCGGTGTGGGAGCCCAGCCTCGGCCTGTGGACAGTCATCTCTCAGGGACCAGCCACCTCTCCCACGTGCCTGGTCACCTCAGGATGCTGAGAGGGTGGCTCTGCCCTGAGCCTCTGACTCAGGTGAGGGAAACAATTGGGTGTGATGAGGATCACCCACACATGGCGTGCCCGGACCTGCCTGACCGGCACTTTCATGCGCCAAGTATTATACATGCTAGCAAGCCCGACCGAGAAGTTCACGCAGATTATGACATCATGCTCACTGGCTGAGTCTGCGCCTCATTTCCTCTTCTGCACCATAAGGGCCTGCACAGTGTGGTGAGAAGGACACCTGGGTGATACTTGGCAATTATCCTCTTATTAGTGCACAGGTAGTAGGATCCCTAGGCTGGCTGGCGATTAGGACCAATGTGTGGAGTCTGTACTTATTCTTCAATAAATTTCCACCTTTGCTATATATATAAAAAAAGAAACAGAATAGTGTGTAAGGTACTACCATTTATGATTTTAGTAAAAGAAAGAGGGAAGCTGAAACCGGTTTGGCTCAGTGGATAGAGCGTCGGCCTGTGGACTGAAAGGTCCCAGGTTCGATTCCAGTCAAGGGCATGTACCTTGGTTGCGGACACATCTCCAGTAGGGGGTGTACAAGAGGCAGCTGATCGATGATTCTTTCTCATCGATGTTTCTCACTCTCTACCCCTCTCTCTTCCTCTCTATAAAAAAATCAATAAAATATATATTTTTTTAAAAAGAAAAAAGAAAGAGGGAAGAAAATAAAATGTTTCACATATGCACACATGAAGTACAGACAAAATCTCTGGTAGAATAACACAAAAACTGGCCACAGAGGTCACTTCCAAGGAGGGTGTCAGGTGGGTGGCAATGAGGGGGATGGAAGCTAAATTTTCACAAGTCATGTATTTGTCCCTTTGGAATTATTTTATTAGGTGGATAGATAATACTCCAGTCAAAATGGCTGATTAACCTAAGCCTGTCTTGTTTTCTCATCACAATGGAGTTCATAAATCCTGCCTCACAGGCCTGCCCTGAGGGCCGGATCTGGCCATGTGCGCGAGAGCCTAGCATTGCACCTGGTACAGGTAACTGTCCCCTCACTGCCACCTGAGCTACCTAGACCGCCTGGGAGTTGCCTTCCAAGTAGCCACTGACACAGAAAGGCGTTTTCTCCATTTCCCTCTTGGCATTAGAGGGCAGCGATCATGAGAGTTGGTGAAAGGGAAGCACTTGGTCCCCCACAAAGGGGTGGTTTCTAACAGGTTCACTCTTGTGCCTACAGAATTCCACCACCGACACCAGCGTCACCAACCCCTGCTACCCTCGGAGTTACGTCACCAACTTCTCCATGGGCCGCCTCTTTGACAGCCTGTGCACGGAGGACCTGAGGCCTGGAGGTTATGACCCCGATGACACCATCACTTTCGAAGGAACCGGGGACCCCTTCCTATGTCGGGTGAAGGTGGCTTCCCTCTTTGCCCCCAGAGCTTGCCACGACCGAGAAACCTACTGCTTTGACAGCATTTATCAGCCAGAAGTTAAAGGATCTTTTGTGGTAAGAGCAACAACCATGGAAAGATTTGTGGGGTGTTTTTTTTTTTTCCTTCCCATTGCATATTTATTTCTCATCTTTCTGTTTCTCTTCTGCTGACCTGTCCCCTGCTTTTCTTGCCTGCCCTAAAAACCTCCATGGTCGGTCCCGTTCTGAGACATGATGTCCTTCTGTTCCGCTTCCTCCCAGGCCTTTGCGGGGTTCTACTACACCGCCAACGCGCTCAACCTCACGGGCAGCTTCTCCCTGAGTGCCTTCAACGCCAGCACCTGGGACTTCTGCTCACAGGACTGGAGTCAGGTCAGTGCGTCAAGAGAAAGGAGCCCTAGCGGCACCAGCAGCAGAGCAGATCTATCCCATTGTGCACATGAGAGTATATGTTCTGAATTTTGCCCTATGCTGTTCTGCTTTTAACCCCCCAAATGGGGCTCTCAGGGAGCCATCCCTGCGTGGTGGTTAGAACCATGTTGGGCACATCCTAAGTGCCCTGTACACTTAAGAGATTGTCCTTGCATGATGTTGTTCTAGGGATATAGTGTTTTGTGTTTTTTTTAAAATATATTTTATTGATTTCTCACAGAGAGGAAGGAGAGGGATAGAGAGTCAGAAGCATCGATGAGAGAGAAACAACTATCAGCTGCCTCCTGCGCACCCCTCACCGGGGATGTGTCCACAACCCAGGTACATGCCTTTGACCGGAATCGAACCTGGGACCCTTGAGTCTGCAGGCCCACGCTCTATCCACTTAGCCACACAGGTTTTGGCAAGGGATATAGTTTTAGTATTATATCATTCCATTCCTTAATGCAGTAGACAGCCTATGGATGGTTCTTTCTCATTGATGTTTCTCTCTCTCCCTTCCTCTCTCTCTCTCAAATCAATTTAAAAAAATAAAAATAAAAATAAAAAAATATATGAAATGCTGGGTGATACAATTTTTTCAGATAGGCCTATGGTCCTGAGGTGTTCCAAAATGTGCATTTTTAAAACCCGCCTGCCTGCCTCTGCTTTGACGTCCTCAGCTCCCGCAGCTGCTGCCTCAGTTTGATGAGCTGTACGCCCGCTCGTACTGCTTCTCGGCCCACTATATCTACCACTTGCTCGTGAACGGGTACAAATTCACCGAGGACACCTGGCCCCAAATACATTTCAAAAAAGAGGTAAGTCAGAATACAAATCTCTTCCTCCTCTTCCTCTCAAAATAGAGGTTTGCGCGTATGTGCGCGAAAGAAGAGCCTTTGATCCCCAGTGACCGCCCAGAAGGGAGGATGGGGAGTTCACCGCAGACCCTCCCCCTGGAGCAAAGGATTGGAAGCCAAGGACCCGTGGGCTCCGAGTTCCTCCGGGGCAGGCCTTGTGTTATCATCCTCAGATTCCTAGCATCCAGCAGGTGGGCGAGAACCTGGAAGATGCTTAGGAAATATTTGTTGAGTGAATGAATAAATATGTTAAGGGTTTCATCCTAACATATTTTCATTCTAAAAAGAAGCTTCCAATATAACAGTTTGTATTTAAAAAAAAAAAAAAAAAAAGAGAGAGAGAATGGTAACTGCCCTGGCTGGTTGCTCAGTTGGTTGAGCATCATCCATGTACTGAGAGGTCACTGGTTCTCTTCCTGGTCAGGGCACAAGCCCTGGTTATGGGCTCAGTCCCCAGTAGGGGTCATGCAAGAGGCATCGAATTGATGATTCTCTCATCCATGTTTCTCTCTCCCTCTCTCTTCCTCTCTCTCTCTTTAAAATCAATTAAAAAGTTGTGTTTTGTTTTTTTTTTAAATGAGGGTAGTAAATAATTGCTCTCCATTTATGCAGATGTCAGAGTAAGAAACAGGCTTTAGAGCTTGAGGGATTAAATAGAATTTTCTCTCAGAATGAGCCTGAGGCCCTGTGTTTACTGTCAAGTGTCAGGAATGGGCCGAAGCTGAAACCTCAGCTGTTCCCAGGTGACTGTGCGGTGACGGGGCTGGGGCCTGGCTTTGAGGCAGAGGCAGCCCTGCTGACATATCCATCCGGCACTATGTTCCTGGGTTCTGGGAGGCTTGTCTGGTTTCAGGAGGAGCTGGTGTAAAGCCTAAAGCATATCTGGAGTCAGTCTGTTCGGTATTAGCTTTGGCTGATTAGATTAAACCAATCAACATCTGTGACTGTCTATTTTTACATAAATGAAATCGAATCATCTACCAGAAATGAGGATGTCTGGGAACATATGAGGATTGTTGTGGGCATGTCCTCTCCCGGCTTGACTTCATGATCTCATTATCAGGAAAGTCCGTTATGAGGATGGAGAATCACTTCCCACTGAGTACCAGCTTGCCTGCCCACAGAGTTCTAGGCATCAAGTTCCTTTCCTTTATTCAAAAGGATTTTACATCCAGCCAAGTTAGTATCCGAATGTGAGGGCCCAAAACAGACTGCAGAAGATTGGCCCTACAAAGACTGCACATCAAAACTATATTTGGAGGAAGTAATGAAATAAGACTAGAAATAATCCAGATGTTATAGAAACATATGAAGTAAGAATAAATAATGTTGTGGCTTTATATATATATATATATATATATATATATATATATATATATATATATATATATATTTTTTTTTTTTAAATATATATTTTATTGATTTTTTTACAGAGAGGAAGAGAGGAATAGAGAGTTAGAAACATTGATGAGATCAAACCTGGGACCTTTCAGTCCGCAGGCTGACGCTCTATCCACTGAGCTAAACTGGTTTTGGCTAAAATGTATATTAAAAAGAAAAAGAAAACTAACACCAAATAAAAGGGTAAAAGAGAAGAATTTATCCATACACCAGAACAACCCAGAATTCAAGTATAACTAATGTTCAATGTGATGGGGATAGGATCAGGGGGTCATAGGCTACAGGAACATAGAAGTGGCCTAAAATGCTAATTTTTTTTAAAGGGAACATGTACACACACAATTATAAGACAAGACAGGAAAAAAATAAATATAGGAAAATAGCACCAATTAAAAATTTTAAAGTAAGATATTAGGAGTCCAAATATATCAACCATTACAATAATCATAAATGGGTCAAACCTACCAGTTAAAAGACAGACATTGCCACACCTGCTTTTTAAAAATCAAATATATGTAATTTATAAGAGAAACACTTAGGCTTCACACATCAGGATTTGGAAAAACTGAAAGTTAAAAAAAAAAAAAAAAAGATTTTTTAAAAACTGTCAGGCAAACATCACCCAAAAGAAAACTGCTGTAGCTACTTAATACCTGAAAATAATAAGTCTTTAAGATAAAGAGCATCATTCAAGATAGAGAGGATTACAACATAATATCAAAAAAGTTCAATCCATCATGAAGATTGCAAATTCAAAATATTCATCCATCTAATAAACCAACCCAAAAATGTACAAACCAAAAATTGATTGAATTACCAGAAGAAACTGACAAACCCTGTGTCTTAGAAACTGGCCCTTGGTTTAGCGAACACACATTACCTTCTTTCTTCAGCCGCAGACACTCTCTCTGTACAGCCGGCAACAGACAATGTTTCCTCTGTGACCAACTCTGCCCTCTTCCCCCTGGGCCATGACGAGGTTCTGTGGACTAGTTCTGACTTTTCTGCAGTGCTGAGTTAGGGCCCTCGAGCCTTTGGGGGTCCCAGTGACTTGGATTCTAGCCCAGCCTCTGCCGTGTCTGAACTTGGGCAAGTCCTTGGACCTCCTTTCCGGTGGATGTTTCATGGTGGTGACAGTTATGTGCCCCGGGTATGGCATTCCCACCTCAACCCTTGCCCTAAGAACTGAGCCTTCTCCTCCTCCTCCTCCTCCTCCTCCTCCTTTCTTCCTCCTCCTCCTCGTCCTCCTTTCTTCTTCTTCTTCTTTTTTTTAAAGTACATTTTAAATTTTATTTTAAATAATATAGCCCAGCTGATATGGCTCAATGATTGAGCGCTGACCTCTGATCCATGAGGTCACAGTCCCATTCCTGGTCAGAAAACATACATGGCTTGTAGGTTCCATTCTCAGTTGGGTTGGGGTGGGAACCTGCACTGAGCCATTTTCTCTACTTCACAGGTGGAAAACAGCAGCATAGCCTGGTCTCTTGGCTACATGCTCACCCTGACCAACCAGATCCCAGCCGAAATCCCCCTGATCCGCCTGCCCTTGAAGCTACCTACCTTTATGAGCCTCCTTGCCTTCTTCACGGGAGTGGCCTTGCTGTGCCTGGCCTTCCTGGTGTACCTGTATGTGATGTCTAAGAATCAGAGGCGCTCCCAGCATGCTTTGGACCATGCAGTGGATTCCGAGTGAGCCGAGTGAGCCGCTGCAGGAGCTCGAAGGCTGCCCAGGTCCAGCCTGGGTGGCACCAGACAATGCAAGTGAAATGGCCACCTGCGGGAAACACCACCACAGTCCAATACTTAGGTCATGCGCCTCTCAGATACTGATGTTTGCCAAAGCACCTCCCGGGGAGTCCCTCAACCGATCTGTGCACACTGCTCCTCAGAGACCCCACCACCCAACGCCCTCGAGGCCGGCTCTTTATTGCAGGGCCCCAGCGGAGGAGGACGCAGAGATTGTGACAGTTCAATGTTGAAGAATTGACCTCAGGGCACATTTTGCATCCTGTCCTCCCTTAGAGATGCCGTATTCCTCCTGGCACAGATGCCCACTAAGCATTTGACCCAATCAGATATCTCACTGTATGGCTTTCTGCCCACTGATCCTCAACTGAGACTGTCCTTTAGCAATCCTGTGGACACTGTGCTCCCTCAGGTAGGTAGAATATACGGGGGAGAAGACTGCTTTACACCCGGGAACAGTGGCCATAGCTTCTGTCACGCAGGCAGAACGCACAGCACGTCTCCCAGAAAACAGCTGGCCGTTCCCCCAGTGGGGTTCCCTCCCGCTCAGGGCTCTGGTCGTTAGACCGCAGCCCGTGTCTGTGTCACTATCCTCCCCGCCCCTTCACATCGCTCCTGTCATCCTAGAAAACATTTGCTGCCAGCGAGGGTATTGTGTCCCGGATCTTTTTGCCTTCGTGAGGCTTTTGTTTTGGGCTCTCTTTCCAGAAATCGTTAGCATGGTGCGTACATTCTGTCCACCATTCCACAGGCGTGCTTGATGCTGCCACAAGATGTCCTAGTCTATGATTTGCTTACCCGTTACTTTCCTGGGGGGGTAGACCTCACTGCACAGCAGCCATAGTTCTTGACTTTGGAGAAAGAGAAGGAAGCTGCAGGGACGTTTAACTCCTAAGTGGGATGGGGGAGAACTCCGGCATGTCCAGTGGCCACAGGCTAAAACTCAACATGGTTTCAGATTGTCTTGTGGTAGCTCAATGTGGAATAAATGACGCGGATTTTGTTTGACTTGCAGAGGGTGTGTGTGTGTGTTACCTTGCACATAGTAGGCGCTCTTTCTCCTAAGGTCCCAAGGCAGCATTGGTGAGAAGTTTTAAAAACTGAGAACATTTTCTTAAGAAAACCTGCCTAATGAATTAAGAAAATTATGCATTATCATCACTTTTATTTCGGAGAGTTCAAAGAGCTCCATTTTGGTAAGCCTTTGGCTCCTCGAGATACTAGCAGTTGTGTTGAACATTTCTTTACCTTATTTGACAGTCAAAGCTTCTGTGAGGCCACAGCCTGCCATTTAGATATTTTCCTTTTCCCCCTTTTTCTTTTAGCTCTTGAGTCCCACCCAGAATGGCTGCTCCCATCCCAAAATGCACCTTCGCTCACAGAGTTCTCCCTACCTAGACTGGGTCATCCTCTAATCCATCCAAATAATGGATATTTCTCAAGGCCCAATTTTAGCTCTATTTCTTTCATAAAGCTATCCTTACACACACTGTGGCCTATCTCCTGCATCACCTTGTAAAAATGAATTACAACATAAATTCTTATATCATTATTCGTCTTTGTGTATGCATATGGCTCTAAAATAGAGGTTCAGTGGATAGAGTGTGGGTCCGAGATTTTGAGATCTTGAATTAGGGTTTCGAGATTTTGAGAACTTGAATAAGGAAAGGGATTCTTAACACACATACACAAAAGCCTTAACCATAGGAGAATACTTGGTATTTATTTTAATATAACAATAGTGATTACATTAAAATTAAGAATGTCTATTCATCAAAAACACCATGAAAAGAATGAAAAGACAAACCACAGAGTGGAAGAAGGTATTTGCAACATATATGACTGATAAAGGACTAGTTTCTAAACTACATGAAGAATCCCTACGAATCAGTGGGGAAAAGGCAGATCATCCATTTTTTTCTAAATGGGCAAAAAACTTGAAGACACTGTACAAAAGGAGAAATGTAAATGTTCAATAAATGTAAAAATGTGCTCAATGCCATGAAATAGGTCAGGGCAACACATATCAAGACTACAATAAGATAATACAATATGCCCATTGGTTTTGCAAAAGTTAGAAAATCTGACCATGTCAATTAATGTGATCACTCTGAGAAACTGTGGTACTGTCTAAAAAGTTGAAGATACGCATACCTCATAACCTGGAAATTCCAGTCCAAGGCATAGAATATGTGTTTTAAGATATGTATGCATGTATACACCAGGATGCACACCTAAGAATTTTCTTACTGGCCACCAACATGCCCATCCCATAAAATGAAAGAATAACTAGTGATATAATCTGTGCTAGAAAATGCCATCTGGTGTGAAAACAAAAGAACTACAAATATGTTCAATATGGATGGATTGTATAGGATAAAAACAGGATAAAAAGCAAGTATAATTCCATTTATGTAAAGTTCAACAACTGAAGATGAAACTAAAGAAAAGCAAGAGAATTACTGCTCTTGAATTTGGGGGGAACAGAGATTGTGTCTGAAAAGGAATAAACAGATGTCTTCATCTGCTAGGGCTGCCATAACAAAATATTGGAGACTGGATGGCGTAAACAACAGAAATTAATTTCTCACAGTTCTGGAAGCTGGGAAGTCGAAGATCAAGGTGCCAGCTGATTCAGTTCCTGGCGAGAACTCTCTGGCTTGTAGACAGCTGCCTTCTCGGGGAGTCCTCACAGGACCTTGTCTCTGTGCTTGTGCAGAAAGAGGGTGAGCTCTCTGGTGTCTCTTTTTATAAGGCTACTAATTCCATCATGATAGTGGGCACCCTCTCATGACCTCATCTAACCCTAATCACCTCCCAAAAGTCCCATACCAAATACCATCACATTGGGGGTTCGGACTTCTAACATAGGAATATCGGGGGCACACAAAAATTCCGTCCATAGTAACAGAACTTTCGGGGTGACGGTGATTGATATTCTATAACTAGGTAGTAGTTACAGGTGTTCCCTTTTTTCAACCGTGTGTGCACTTTCTATATGTCCTATATGGCATTTCAAAGATAAAATTATAGATCTGGGTTAGCTCAAGAATTTACTATTTGCTACCTCTATGAGCGTCATAAAGTCTTTCCATCTCTGGGGCTAATATCTACTAGTACCTCATGGGATTGTTGAGAAAAGAGAAATGTAGCCCTTAGCCAGTGTCTGGCAGGGAGTATAGGCAATGAATAATAATAATAATAATAATACTTTTTAAAAGTATTTCTTTCATCCATTTACTTATTCATTCATTCATTCATTCATTCATCCATCATACATTCGCCAAAAGTTTGCTCTATGCTAACACACGAGACATGAAGGCCCTCTGCTGGAGCCATGGAGAAAATTTTTCCCAGGTTGGGTCCTATTTGTTTCAACCTCATTAACGATGCTAAAAAAAAAATTATTAGTTCAAGATTATTTTCAATATTATAAAATACTGAGACAATTGGAAATCTGAGCATTTGCTGCAAGCATTCCTGCTAATTTTTGTTTAGTTGAGAGAATGGTCTTGTGAATTCCGCCCCCTTCTCCCCCCTTCTAGTCCCCAAGAATCCTTACTATTTACATACTTGCTAAAAACTACGTCCAGATGAAAAGATATACCTGGTACAGCTGTCAGGGTTTAACCAGAGAAAGAGAACCAGTAGGAGATATATGTTAAGCGACTGTTTTTGCAATCAATTTCTTTTGCGATTGTAGGGACTGGACAGGGAAGTCTGAAGTCCCCAGGGCAGGCTGCTCAGAAGGGCAGACTGAACTCTGGGCTTGAGCGACAGCGTCAGTCCACCCGTGGCATTTGTTCTTGGGGAGCATTGGTTGGCTCTGCCCCTAAGGTCTTTCAGCTGATGTAGTCAGGCTCACTAAGGTTACCCAGGCTAATTTCCCTTACTTAAAAATAACGGATGTGGGCTTTAATCACACCTACAAAATACCTTCACAGCAACACCTTATAGAATAATGAATATCTGAAGATTGTAGCCTAGCCACATTGACCATCACATTTGACCATCACATCTATGAACTGATTCTAACAACCAAAGATTAGTTTGCCTGTTTTGAACTTTTTTTTTTTTTATAATATATTTTATTGATTTTTTACAGAGAGGAAGGGAAAGGGAAAGAGAGTTAGAAACATCAATCAGCTGCCTCCTGCACACCTCCTACCGGGGATGTGCCTGCAACCAAGGTACATGCCCTTAACCGGAATCGAACCTGGGACCCTTCAGTCCACAGGCCGACGCTCTATCCACTGAGCCAAACCGGTCAGGGCTGTTTTGAACTTTATAGAAGTGAAATCACACGGCATATACTCTATGTGTCGGACTTATTTCACTGTTATGTGTGAATGCGTCCATGTTCCTCGTAGATGCTGCTGACTCTATTATAAAGACTTCCACAATTTATCTCTTGTTTGTGGGCCTTTGGATAGTTCCCAGTTTGGGGTTCTTACATCCATTCTGCTATGGATGTTCTTATTCATGTCTTTTGCTTTGTAAATTATAAAGCAGGATACTAAAGCCTGAAGACTCAATCATTTGCTGCCTACTTATTGAGCCCCTTAGGAGGCATTATGCTAAGAAAAGATGGTCAAGGTTCTGCCCTCATAGAACTTACTTTAGTTGGTGCAAAACTACAGCTAAATGGACAGAAAAAAGGAGTCAAGCAACTGTGGTAAGAATTCTGAGGAAAACAAAAAGCTGATCTAGTAAAGGGACAAGGGGTCTGCTTTTTTTTTTTATGTGGCAATCATGTAAGGAGTATGAGCATTCTTGGCAAGGGAGACATCCTGTACAAGTCACGGAGAAGGGGAGAGCTTGTCCTACTCAGGAAGACCAGTGTGGCTGAAGCATGATGAAGGGGAACAAGAGATTTGTGTGTAGGATACGATGCAGGCCGGAACAAGCAGTTATGATTTTATTCTAAATAGTGTAGAAAGTCACTGAAATGTTTTAAACAGAAAGACGTGATTTTGTTTATTGATTTAAAATTTTTTTTTGATTTTTGGAGAGGAGAGGGAGAGAAACATCGATGTGAGAGCAGAATTTAGGTGGGCTGCCTCCTGCACACCCACTTCCAGGGACCCAACTGAACCAGCGAATCAAACAATCTACTGAAATCAAACCGGGGCAACCCTTCAGTGCCCCGGCCGACACCTACCCAATTGAGCCACACTTGCCAGGCATGGTTTGTTTTTAAAAAAGAGCCCTCTGACTTCCAGGCAGAGAAGAGGTTAAATGGATCAGTGGGAAAGCAGATCACTTTAGGAGGCTGCTTAGAACAGCCCCAGAATAGATGCCGGCATAGATCTTAGAGGAAACGACTGAAATAGATTTGGGAATTGTCGGCAAAATAATCACAATCTTAATCAAGTCATGAATAGTAACACTGCCATAGCAACACTGCCAAGGAGATACCTTGCATGTGTTCTGATATGATGCCATCAAGGCACAGCATTTTTACCCAAAAGGTATAATCTGAATGTAATCATGAGGAAAATTACAACAAATCCATATTGAGAGACCTTCTACAAAACAACTAGCCTGTGTTTAAAAATGTCAAAATGTCGTTATTATAAAAGATAAAAGCTTAGGAATTGTTATAGATTAAAAAAACCAAACAAACAGAAAACTAGACATGATAAACACAACTTGCTTTGATTAGATTGCGAACCAGGATGGATATATATATATATATATATATATATATATACACACACACACACACACACACATACATATACATATACATATATATATGTATGTATTTTGCATTTACTCTAACAACTGTAAATGGGACAATCAACAATGAAATAGAACTGCAAATTAATAAACACACTATTCGTATTACTTTCCAGGTTATGATTATTTTATTACATAAGACATGCCTCTGTTTTTTAGGAAATAACACATTTAATAGTGTAGCGATAAAGAAACATCATGTCTGCAATTTTCTCTCAAATCGGTCACAAAGTGCAAACATGAAATGTTAACCTTGAGCACTTA